CAGAAGGTAACTCACCCCCCCCATCAGCTCCTGCTTCGTCCCTAGACGAGAATCCTCTCTCTGATCCCACCCCCACCCCTCCGGGAACGGGGACAGGACCCCACCTTTGAACCACTTGGAGTCGTGCTTGACGGTGCGCAGGGTCGGGCTGTCCCCCAGGCTCCGGTAGATCACTGTGTCGATTGCCAGGAAATCTGTCACCGTGGCCGTGAACAGCATCCCGCCTGCCAAGGGGAGAGAGGGAATGAATAGGACAGACAGACAGACAGACAGACAGACAGACAGACGGGGCTTTATGGGCATGGCTAGATAGATAGATAGATAGATAGAGGGGGTGTATATAGATAGATAGATAGATAGATAGATAGATAGATAGATAGATAGATAGATAGATAGATAGATAGATAGATAGATAGATAGATAGATAGATAGGGTGTATAGGGATTGATAGGCAGGCTATATGAGGATGGATAGACAGACGGATGAGTATGGGGATAGACGGACAGACAGACAGACAGATGGACAGACAGATGGCTGTGCCAGAGGATGGACAGATCGATACAGAATGAGGGAGAAAAGGTGTGTGACGTGATATCTTCCAATGGACCAACTTCTGTTTGGGCAAGAGCTGCTCCCGAGTGCCGCGGAGCGAAGGATGGGCTCTGGGGAGCTCAGAAGCTCGCCTCTTGCACAAACAGACACAGATCCAATAAAAGATACGACCTCACCCACCTGGTCTCTCTCATTTCCTGGGACCAACACGGCTACAACACCGCTGCAAGACAGACAGACAGACAGATAAATGGGCATTTATCGGAGCCGACGGACAAAGTGACAAAAGGGAGCCGGGCAAAGCGAAAGAGCCAATGAACACAAGAAAGAAGGGAAAAAACCCCCGAAGAGAACGACCCCGAGTTTTTGGGCTGTGCCCCAGGGCTGGCGAGCTCACTGCAGGGAGCTCAGCACGGAGGGGAAGCAGGCGCCCCCTTCCCGAAACGAGGCCGGGCGCTACTGACCCGTGAAGAGGGCGACGTTGGCATGTTTGGGGTCGTAGGGGCACCGGGCCATGCCGCTGATGTTGTCTCCAATGGGCTCCAGGGTGTCCATCTGAAGGAGAGGGAGAGAGGTGATCAGTTGGCACCCAGGCCTGCCAGCTCCCAGCCTCGCTGGGCTCGCCCCAGGGACAGAAAACTCAGGGGACAACAGCAAGGCCCCTAAATCCACAACCAGGCGCCCCACGAACTGACTGGCCCATCGAGATGCTGCGAGCTGGCAGCTCCTCCTGGCTGTCCCATGCTGGGCGCTGTGCACACACCCGCTCACACACCTTACAGCGTAAATGGGCAAGGGAGGGGAAACTGAGGCACAGCCTGGGGAAATCACTTGCTCCAGGTCACAGCCCAGAGCCGACAATAGAGTCCATCTTCCAGCGCCCCAGGCTGGGCCAGGCTGCCTCCCACATGGCCTGCACCCCAATATTCCCTCTCATCGGTTCCCTCAATGCGCGGAATAAATTTGTATGTGCACTGAGGCCTATGTGAAGGTGCACCACTAGTAAAAACACACACCTCGCTGCGGGCGCTTTGCTAATCCGCAGGGCAACACTGGAATCCCTCCTCAGCAGCTGCACCCGTTCACAGCATCCAGGGAACACTGCGGCACCCCCACCTCTCCCGCACACAGGGGGGTCCCGGGGCCCTGCCCTTTGCTGGCCCATCAGCTCAGAGGTCTCAGATCCACCCCTGAGCTGCGGCCACCTGCTGCTCTACTCTGCCCCTCCCGCCCTGCCCGGGGAGCACAGCAGGGCTGGTCAACGAGATCCCTTCCCATCAGCACCGAATACACCGGGGCTCTTGCTCTTGCTTCTGGCTTCCCCTCTCCCTCCTGGCCTCCTGCTGGCCCAGCCTCCTTCGCCCTGGGCAGGGGCCTCTGTAGATCAGCCCTGGAGCCTGCTTGGCAACAGCTGGGAGGTGACCCAAGTTCAGCACAGGGAGCAGGGAGAGCTCCCGCACATGGGGGGGATGCAGCGGTCTGGGCTTGACAGGGGAACGTCCCCAGTGCACTGTGCCCCCCCGGCTGGCTGCTGCCTTTGCTGCTCCATACCCCCCTCGCTCCCCCCGCTCTGCTCCAGCCCCGGGGGAGTGGGCCACCAGGACTGCCCCTTTTCTCCCAGGGGGAGGGTGATGTGCTGCATGCAGACAACCCCCCCTCCACGGCTTACGCCCTGCACTCTGCCAGCTGCCCGCGCTGGGAGGGGCACTAGCAGCCCTCGGAGGAACGGGGCGCCGCATGCCCAGAGGGGTGAGCCCCCAGCGGGGCAGGGGCGTCGGGGAAAGACACTCGCACGGGCTCACATGACAGAGGGCCCACGCCATACACAGGCACGTGAGGCGCCCCCATGCACAGGAACCGGCTAACCGTACACGACACGGCCGTGCAGTGCACACTCGCCGCCCGCAGGCACGCCCTGCACAAACCACACACAATGCTCCGCTGAGCGCTACACACCCAGGCACGTGCGTCCCGTGGCACCCCACGTGGGACATCCCACGCCCGTAGGTGAGGGCCAAACACTGGCAGAAGCTGGGCCATGCACAGGGCCCCCCTCCAATACACACGCCCCACCCCGTGGGAAGACCCGGCAGCCCGAGCTGCCCAGGCCCGGGCAGGCGGGCGGGGGACTCACGCTGTAGTTGGCGCAGACGGGGTTGAAGGCGTTGGTCCCGCACACGAAGAGCGAGCTCTCGTTCCTCACCAGCAGCACCTTGACGAAGTTCCGGCACTCTGCCTGGAGAGGGGAAGGGGCGTCAGTGCCGGGGCAGGGCAGCCGGAGCAGCCCCCTTCGGCGCCGGAGACGACGGGCCCGGCCCTGCCCTTGGAACTCATGTGCGGGGCAGGGCCCTGGCACCGGGGAGCAGAATGTGGCTTGATGCACCCAGAGGGCCGATCTGTGGCGTGGGCTGGTCGCCCCGGCTCACGGCCACCTCAGCACAGCGGGGAAAGAGCAACTTCCAAAGAGACACGGCCAAGGAGCCTCACCGCACATAAGGTTACGGCGAAGAAACGCGTCCGTCTGTCCCCACGTGCCCTTCCTTCCTGTGTACCGAGCCATCCAGCCGTCTGTCCATCTGCCCCCTGCAACCCCTCCCCATCCATCCACCCATCCCCCCTCCAAGCATCCCTGCCTAGCCAACTATCCATGCTCCTCTTTCTCTCCATCCCTTTATCTACCTAGCCATCCCCATGCACACCCTCTATAAAATCCCCCGACTCGAAGCCAGGGGTGCGGAACCTGCGGCCCCCGGCTTACTTGGATCTGGCCCGGAAGGCTGGAGGCTCCCCTGCAGCACTGGGGAGTCTGCACTGGCACTCCAGCCCTCCCTCTATCGCACTGTGGGGCTGGAGCGCGCAAAATCTACTTGCCTGGGGGTCAACAGCCGCCGACCCAAGCAAGTTTCCCAATCCCTGCTCTCAGCAGACCGCACTACCCAGCTAGTTATCTTGCTAGAAATGGTTCCTTGATGCTTGTTTTTAAATCTAGGTTGAAGCAGTTTTCTGTTTCTATTTCCAAACTCCCTGCGGGGTGTGCCCGGGGACCACGGCAGCACGGGGCTTGGGAGCCCAGACATCGCCATCCTTAAAGGCCTCCATTGTCTAGTCGGAGGGAAATGCCAAAGGGAACGCTCAGCAGGGACAGACAGAGGTGTTACAGATCCAGCCAGCCGTCACCGTCTCTGATCCTGCTGGCTGCCCAGGTGAGCTGAGTGGCTGATCTGGAGCCTGACAAGCGTCCCTTTTAACCTTGCACAGAGCACTCCGGCGGCTGGAGAAAGACGGGCCGCTCTGCCCGGGGAGGCCAAGCCAGCCGGCTCCAGGTGCCGCTCCACAGGGCAGGGTAGACACAAACAGAAACGCTGCAAATTTAGGACCAGATGCCACCTGCGCACCCGCCATGGGCCCTCGGGAGCCAACGCTCCAGGAACGAGGCCTTCCCAAGCGTGTGGTGGGGGGAGGCCGGGGAGAGAGGAGGAGAAAAAAGAAGCCAGCCAAGCACCTGAATGCTCCATATTTCCAGGCCTGCAAGGAAACCATGGAAACACACATTCATGTGCTTTGATTGGGAAACAAAGAGGCCCCAAACCTGTGAAGCTGCCTGGGCAGAAAGAGGAGACGCGCGCGCGAGGGCAGAGGTGGATGGAGGCGGCTGAAACCGCTTCTGTGGAGCTCAGAGGTGGGGAGAGGTTGGGGTCCTGGGCGTGTGCTGGGGCGGTGCTCAGGGACCTGCCGGAGGGTGGAGATTCTTGTGGACAAGGGTTTCCACGTTCGTAAGGAATAAAAACCGGCTCCAGGGTGGGGCTGGGGAGGGGAACCGTCCCTTTAAGCTCTCACCATTGCCCCAACTCAGGCTCAAACACGTAAAAAAACTTCAGATCAAGAGAAATCTCCATCCCTGGAGGTTTTTAAGTCTCGGCTTGACAAAGCCCTGGCTGGGATGGTTTAGTTGGGGTTGGTCGTGCTTTGGGGAGGGGTTGGCCTTGATGACTCCTGAGGTCTCTTCCAGCCCCGGGAGCCTATGAAATGGTTTATTAATGAAAAAGTGGCAACCGTTACAAAAACAAAGAAGTAAAATTTCCCCTGCAGCCTCCCAGCCTCAGGAACCTCCTAGCTGCCTTGTAACCGGGACTGGCCATTGGAAACCGAAACTGACTAGGAAGAGCCCTGAAACTGACAAGCCTGTTTTCCTTGTCCCAGGAGCCCACTTGGGTGTTCAAATCCTTTGTGCATCTGAGCTGTGGCATCACTTGTTACAAGGATAAGACAAGGGGGGTTATCAAAGGCCGAAAGGGGAGGTTAGGGGCTCATCCCCCATTGGCGGTCCAGGGGCCTGGGTGCTTAGATGGGATTTTTCCAATGGGACGGAAGGATTTAGGAAGGGGTGTCTGACTGCGCAGCTCCACCAGAAACCCCAGCACCAAATCTCTCCAGCACAGGGCACCCTGCATGCACGGTGTGGACCTGGGGTAGTGTTTCTGTGGCATTCACCGGCCTGCTGGGTCCCCAAGAGAGCCACGTAAATAACAGGGCTGGATTCTCACAGGTGCCCACGGGATTGAGTTGAGGAAGGCGCTTGAGTGACAGGTGGTGGAGAGATGCGGGGGGGGGGGGGGAGGAGAACACGCTGTAGGGATAGGAGCAGGAAAAAGCAATGGGAATGGGAGGGGAGGGGCAGATAGTGCATGGAAGAGCCATGTTCCCACTGCACAGGTGCAGCAGCTATTCCCTACCATGGAAGCTGAGGCGTCTAGGTGTGGTTTTGTGGCTCGGGGCTAAGGAACCCAAATTCCAGTTCAGTGGGAACTGGGCGCCAAATTCCACTAGGCTCCCTTGAAAATCCCACTCTCAACCTGCCACGTCTGGACAAGCTGGCCTCTGATTTCTTAGGAGCGTGTGGGTCAGATTCTCCGTCCCTTACTCCACGTGGACCTCAGTGTAATTCTTTGGGTGTGAGCAGCTCCACCCCCGCTGAGCGAGCTCAGAGTCTGGCCCTCGGATGTTTAACGAGCCAGCCCCTGAGTCAGCGGATGCTGATTTATTCCACTTCCTGGCGGTAATTGTGAGCCAGAGCTCCCGCTGTCCTGGGTTCTGATCCAGTGGGGCACCGGGGTCCCTCTCCCTGGGGAGCCTGGCGCACTGCCTTTTTCAGCCTGAAGAAGCATTAATGGAATCTGGAAATTGGATTTCTCACCGATTATGAGATGTGTCTGTTCTGATCAACAGACCAGAAATAATTAATTACAAAGCCAATTATACAGCGTCTAATAAATCACATTTGACACAAATGTTTGCAGGGAGTTAAAAGGCAGAGTGTGACACACACAGCTCTCTGTGGGCCCCACGCCGACCACCGCACAGCGAGCGGGGAGGCGACGGGAGGCGCTGGCTGGAGAGCTAACGCACCAGACAAAGCCAGTGTGCTCCGCAGATCGCTGTGGGAGCGGGCGTCCCGGCACTAGTGAGCTGGGCCACGGATCCTGGCACCAGCAGGGCCACTATTTTGAGGAGCATCTTGGAGTCCCAGCCTAAGGGAGGGGAGGGTCGGAGAGCTGGGGCAACTCGCGGAGGAAATGCCACTTCTCCTCCCCGCCCCAGCCTCCGCCATGGCAGGGCAGGCAGTGGGGCAGGCTGTGCCCTTACCTCGTGCTTCCCCTTCATCCGGCAGATGCTGATGTCGTGTGGGTTCGACCGCCACGTCAGTTTCTGGGTATAAAGCCAACAACCAACTCGAGTCAAACGCAGAGGAGGCAAAGACCCAGATTTCCTGCTCCCCCTGCCCCTCTTTCGCTGGCTGGGGCTAAGCTCTCCCTGCATTTGGCACATGGGTGGGAGCTGCCTGAGCCCAGAGGGAAGATGCCAGACCAAGGGGTGAGGCTGGCATCTGTCCCTCGGACACCAGCCCAGGAGCCCCTGGGACTGTGACGTGCTCCTGGAGCTGCTTGGAGTGATCCTGCACCCAGGCGCCCACGCGAAGGCAGCGGCTTGGCTTGGAGCTGTGCATAATTGAGGCTGGCCCCTGGCGGAGGCCCGGGGAGCTGTCCCTGTGGGTTAGCAGTGCCTGGGAGAGCCCCGCAGAGCCGCCCAGCCCAGCACTTACCCGCTGGTAGCGCATCTCGCTGGCCGTGGCAGGCTCCAGGCTCACCCGGTACAGGTTATCCCTGGTGGGAGAGAAGGGGACAGGCCCATGAGAGCGAGCTAGACAATGGGGGTGCACATTAGATACAGCCCTACGCCACCCACATGCCCACAGAACAGCCCCCCAACCCACACTGCCAGCCCCAGCATGCCCCCCAAACCACCTGCAACCCTCCCTGAGAACCTACACGCTCATTCCACCCAACACCCTACACCCTCAGTATGTGCCTCAATTCATTCCCTACCCTCCTGAGAACCTACACACTCATTCCACACGCCCCTGCATCTCTACCAAATGCAACACATCACCCTCAAAACATCCCCTCTGTGCCACAATTCATTCCCTACCCTCCTGAGAACCTACACTCATAACACATGCATCTGAATTACCACCCAACACCCCACACTGCCCATATGCACCCCAAGTCCTTCCCTACCCCCTCCTGAGAACCTACACACTCGTAACACACCAAGCAACAAACAAGTCACCAGACACCCATTCGTAATGCCCCCTCAAACGGCAACACCCCACCCAACACACAGCAATCTCTAGGACTGTGTACACCCCCCTTCCAACTTCCCTAGACAACAATGCTCCCCAAGCTCCTCCCCCCAGACACACCCCATGCCTGGGTGTAAGGTCCAGGCACGGTGGGTGGGGCTGTTTCCCTGGGGAATTGAGGGCATTTCCACTAGCTGCTCCGTCCCGGGGCGACTGTCGGGCATCTGGTGTCTGTGATGGAAAAGGGGAGGCAGGATCTGGGGCAGTGCAGGCCCGTTCCACCACCACCAGCAGGCTCTGCATCCCAGGCTCATCCCAGGGCAATGGGAAGGGAGCCCGACAGCTCCCGGACTGGGCGAGCCACCCGCCCTACTCAGCTCCAGGTGGTTGGCAGCGGAGCTGGGCAGGAGCACAGGGCTGAGGCAGGCGGGCAGGGCTCGGCGCCAGAGCCCGATCCCCACGGCCAGCACGGCGGGAGAGGCCGAGAGGACCCGGCGCTGGGCTGAGGACACTCCGGAGGGGTGAAGAGGGAGGTTAGCAGAGCAGGGTGGAGAGACCGGGGTGCTGCTTCCGCGCTGCCGGGGCACAGACAGGCTCCCCCCGCGCCCCGCCAGCGCTCTCTGACGGGCACCTGGCCG